CGTTCATGCCCGGAGTATAAATTCAAGAACACTGAAGATTTTGAGAAAGGTTGTAATTTGACCATAAGCAAGTTTAGTAGACATGATGAAGGAGCGTATAGCTGTAGTGCATCAAGATCAATTGTTAACTGGTCTGCCCAAGTTGAAGTGCGTCTTGTAATGATAGGTAAGTGCAAGGGAGGTGGGGGTGGGCGCCAGGTCACCAATTAATCATTCCCAAGATAGCTTCAAAACGAGTTCGTAGGCCACTATTCGTGCGATTTTGTTAAGTACATTTTCCAAATTTTGCTGTTATTAGGTTAATTTCTATAGTTTAGGCGATATTTCTTATTGAATGTAATAATATACCTATATTGTGTGAATTTATACATTTATTAGACCAACAATGCAGAGCAGTTGCAAAAAAGCAACTATATATATAGCCCCTCTTGAAGGAATGTCAGTCTACAATTAGTTTTGTTGAATAGTTAGTGCCAAAGTTCAATTTTTCTGTTTGCCGATTGGTCAAACCATATCACGTGCCTGTCCACAAAGCGTCATGTTCGGCAACCGGTCCGCAAAGAAACAATTATTGACCGGTCAATAATATAATGGGTACAATGCGCATGTACGTCAACCGTGATGTTCCAAAGTTCATTTTATTAAACTTTTTTATTAAACATTTACGGCGTCCTATTTATCTAGTTTTAGTTTCAAAGTTCATTCCAATAACCGGTGAATTATTCATATTTTGACACTTATAATCTTATATACTATATAACAAAACACTTAATTTACTGAGACCTCAGGAAAGCAGTGTGTTTTGTGTCCTCTCGACCGCCGTTGTTGCATGCCCTCGGCTTCGCCTAGCTCGAGCAACAACGGCGGTTTCAGGACCACAAAACACACTGTTTCCCTCGGTCTCAGTAAATAAGTGATAAATAGCGAGTATAGACGCCCAAATGCCTGATATTTACCTATATACACCTTACATTGACATCCTATAGTATATAAAGAGATGAACAGGTGGTTATGGTAGCTAAGCAAATGTACTTAACAAATCCGTGCAAAATAGACCTGGGAACGAGGTGATGAGAGTTCTATGGGAACCAAATACTTTTATCTTTCACAAGATATTGGGAAAAAATACTATGATAAAGTAAATAATAATTATATGTTCTAAGACGTGAAAATACCTTATTATCAATTAGTATTTCTTTCTGCTTTTACATATATAATTTACCAACACCTATGAATGGGAACTATTCTAACTTATTCTAAAACTCGCAAGAAACAGCTGAAAGATAACCCAAAATCATATACGTTGTTTGTCGTAACTATATTTTTATCTAGTCTCTTGTGAAGCGGTAATAAATTAAATCCGACGAATAGACCAATTGCGAAACTTAGTGACCGCGCCTTAAACTGCACGAAAACGAGGCTTATTATGCAAAAACAAATCATTCTGCTATATTTTAAATGGCGAAAGATGAATTTCAGTGTTTGAGACGCGTTTTTATGGTAATCTCTTCATTTTTTTTCAATATTTTTGTTTTGACTATGTAAATCTTTATTAAACTTGTTCATAGATTTAGTCTTACTTCAAATTTCATTGTTTTTTGCGGCG